CCAGATGTAACTAAAACAATCGGTGACCCCCTGTGATACAAATGAGCACACAGGAAGTGGAGCAGCCACTGATAAAGCTGTACTGACCCCTGGAGCTGTGTGGCACCTAAAGCAATGCAAAAGTTGATTGAGCCACATATTTCATGGTGAACCTGCCAAATGGAGTAAACACTGGCAACATCAACCTGGTTACCTAAGAGAATGAGATGAGATAAAAAGATCTATCTGGAAACTATGAGCTATATTCTGCTTACATATAATAGTCAAAGTTGCCAAGTAGCTTGGGGAAAAAATGGCTTTGAGAAATGCTATATACATGAAACATTGGGAAATGGCCAGTGTTCCCAGAATCAGCCAAACACCAATGAAGCTCAGCTCTAAAAAGACTTCTTGAATGGTTACAGAGCTAATGTTTTTAACACAATTGTTATTATTTATCCTAATCAGCCTCAGTTTATCAAATAAGTCTGAGCATACCACTGAAATGAATCTGCAGTTGTGGGTGTGAGACAAGCTGGATTTTGCCTTTTTATCTCTAAGTAAAGATTTTGAATTTTTAAAAAAAAAGTAGAAACACATACTGTCATGATTTATCTCTGTGGCCTCATGAGCTTGCATTATGCATTTGTGATGGTTCATTGTCTAGTGTTTGGATTGATGGTGTCAGTGCTATACCCACATAAGTGTGGAGCCAAGATGTAATGTAATGGCAGAAAGAAGGTGTGTCTTGGTCTTTTGCTGGTTTTTGCCTTGCAGCCACCATGAATTGTGGCTCTGCCATGCCAGACTGCCTTGGAGCCAACTGACTATGGACGAAAACCTCCCAAAACTGTAAGAAATAAACCTTTCCTTTCCCAACTTGGGCTTCAGGTATTTTGTCTCAGCAATGAGTAAAAAGGAACTAAGACAGAATTTGGCATGAGGAGTGGGGTCACTTGCTGTTACTATACCTGACCATGTTTTTTGAGAGGCTTTGGAAATAGCTTGTGGGCAGAGTTTGGAAAGGTTCAAACATGTGACCTGGCTGCATTAGAGCTGGAGCAGCTTAGGCTGTTCTCTAGAGAAGATCCTAGTCAGAGCTCAGGAGACCAGAAGGCTGATAGGAAGCTTCATGGTAAAGACCAGGCTTGGGAGGTTTCTGCTGGGAAGGACTGCATTGGTTGTTGGACTTCCCATGGTGTGTGCTATGGTTTGGCAAGAAGTTCATCTGCATTTTGCTCATTCCCAGAGACTTTGCCTGACACAGAGACAAAGGACAGTGGATTTATTAATCTGGAAAAGGAAATTTTAAAGCATATTGAGGCTGTGGCATGGCTATTTTGGAGGGCTTTTAGCCAACTTTATGTTACAAATCAAGAACAAAGAGCCCAGCAAGATAATTTGCAATACCATGACTTTGGCCAGAAGGAAAATTGCAGGAAAGCTGTGAATTGTAAAGACAGAGTTGAGATTTTGATTGCTGAGGAGAAACAGAGAGATAAAAAAGATGGCCCCAGGGCATCTCAGGAAACAGGTCCCCACCCTTTGCAGCCTCACTACAAAGGTGAAAGAATTTGCTAAGAGGAGAAAACTGCAGAGCACTATGCTCCAGAATGGCAATGGTGGCCATATCAGGGGCCAGAATGGTGGCAATGTAGAGAAGCTTTTGGTCACAATTAGGTAAAGAGAGCCCTGCGATCAAGGCAACTGATCCTACAACCAAGAGAGAGAAAAGCCTGGCTACTGCTTCAGCTGGCAGCAGACCTTGGCGGCATCCACAATGCTGGTTTTAGGTGCAAGGAAAATGCACAAATTCTGAGGATAAGATGGCTTCCATCTCCATTGCTAGGGACCTGGGAGGCCAAGTAGTGTGCCCCTGAGAGAGCAATTTGTAAAGATGTAAGGGTGAAGCCAAAGGTGCAATGGAGACCCCAGAAGTTTGAAAAAGCCAGGAACGTGGATGATCCAAGGAAACCTGCAAAAAGGGAAGAGAGACGATTTAAGAGAAAAGCTGCGGAAGCTGAAATCCCTGGAAGTGCCGTGCGGGGGGTGGGGGTGGGGGGGTGGAATCACCCAAGCCTTTTGGAGCTTGCAACCAGATTGCTTTAGATGCTGAGTATGGAACTCTGGGACTTCATATTTGTCCTGATGGATGCTGGACTTGCTTTGTTCCCACTGCTTTATATTTCCCTGTTTGTAACTTTTGGAATGGTGATGTTTCTCTCATGCCTTTGCATTTCAGAAATGTGTAATCTTGTTTCCTTTGTACAGGGGGTTATAGTTAAGTTTACCATAGATCTTGGAGGAGACTTGGGATTTGGACTTTTCAGCAATGCTGAAAGTAAGGACTTTGGCAACTCTTGGAGGTGGACTAAATGTCTTTTGTATAAAGGATGTACAAGAGTACTGGGGGCTAGGGGTGGAATGTCATGGTTTATGTCTGTGGTCCCCAGGCCTCATGAGTTCGCATTGTGCATTTGTGATGGTTCAATGTCTAATGCTTGGATTGATGGTGTCAATGCTACAGCCACATAGGGGTGGAGCCAGGATGTGACGTAATGGCAGGAAGGTGTGTTTTGCCCTTTTGCTGGTTTTTCCCTTGCCGTTTGTAGCCGCCATGAACTGTGGCTCTGCCATGCCAGCCTGCCTTGGAGCCAACTGAGTATGGAATGAAACCTCCAAAAACTGTAAGAAATAAACCTTTCCTTTCCCAACTTGGGCTTCAGGTATTTTGTCTCAGTAATGAGTAAAAAGTAACTAAGACACATACATATAACATTTTGAACACCTTATTTCATTCAGTTCTGTTCTTTAACCAAACAAAATAGTTTTGTTTTCCATTAGGTCAATATGCGTGATCATTAAAGTCATAAAAGCAATCTTCCAAGACTTATTTTAAGTTCAAAATGAAAGCATTTTCATAAAAGCCAGGGTAATTGCCCTATTTTAATCTTAATATTTCTTTTAAATATGACCAAGAAAAGTCTGTCCAAAATATTTATATCAACATTAAGTGTTTTTATTTCTAACTCATTTCTACTACCACTAAGATTTCTAACAAAGTAACTTTTAAATGTGTAATGGTGTATATTTTTGAAGTATGTTGTCCAATACACTTGTTATCAACACAGTAAATGTTTAGGCATTTTACCAAACACTATTATCCCTCCATTTCATTTTGGCTATAGTATTTATTTCTGCTTTTTTCTTCATAAAGTATTCGTTCCAATATTTCTATCTATGAAGAGAAATAAAACGCACGTATGTATTTGAACAAGTGGATTGAGGCTCTTCTACTGTGGTTTTGTCTTTTCTTACACTATTGTCATTAAATTGTAATTCTTCTCTATAATGTACTTCTGATATTTATTCTGATATCCATGTTACATGCAGTGAACATATTTTATTTATTCATTTCTGCAGAGAACAGTTGGCTCTAATATCTCCATTTTAAAATCATTTTATGTATATAATCTCTTATGGACTGTTTCTCTCATGAGTTTCTCTGTGTAAAAGTGCGGAGTTCCAAATATACAAACACTTTTTCTGATTTCTGAGGTTGTGTTCCTTAGTGATTGCACAGTCTGCAGTTCCAGCACTGTTGTGCACAGTCTGCACAACAAACACTTCGGTTCTAGCCACATCTTCACCAGCACAGTAGCATCCCTAGAATGAAACCTGGACCACCAGTGAGTAGCATGTTCAAGCACATCTTCTTTATATAATTGTCCCTTACAATTTATTCTGAACTCAGGATCTAAAAATGACAAGTTTTCTAAGTGGACTACTATCCCAATATTGTAACTCCTGTGTTTGCCAATACTCCACCAATGTGGAAATCCCAAAGTGATTTAAGTGGCAGAAACAATCAGGTTTAGAAGAACTCTCACTGTATTTCCAGTGGGACACAGTACCCTGCTCTTTAGGATTCAGGAATTCTAATCTAGCAGGGTCTACAGCTACAGAAATAGGAAGTATAAATTCTACAGTAAAATTAATAAAAGTTATAAAGAGAGACGCCAATATTGCTTGGATTATGGACCTGATAATTCCAAACATTGGGCTCAGCCCCTATTGACCTCTATTATGGGGCCTGAAAACTTTATAAAAGTGACAATTTGTACATACTTTAGGCTTTGTAGACTAGAGCAGTTTTTTTTTTTTTCAAAACCACTTTCCCCTCAAAGGCCAAAAAGTAGCCTCGAAAAATACCAAAACATTTCTATAAAGTTATTGCCTCCATTAGGATTTAACCAAGGCAATGATCCCCACAGACATCAAGGACAGTCACTCAGTTATTGCATATTATTATTTGCCACCAAGTTGCTGACTTCTCTAGTCTCCTTGGAGAGCAGGACCATACTGAGAACTCAGCCTTGATCCCAGCACTGCTGACAGTTCAAACATCAACAGTGAGTGTCAGCAGAACAGCCTAAGTGACAGCCTCAGCTGTCAAAGGACCAAACCAAAGCCTCTATCTCTGCTGCCTACACAATTTGCTTCTAAAGTTCATATATCAAGTACTACCCTAGGAAAAATTATTGCATAAATAAGTAATGCTACTTTTTAAGTAGATGATAGACAGTGAATAGGTACTGTTGAGGTTAATAAAATCCATGTACTATATAATGCTCAGGGAAAATTTTTCCAAAAACAGGACAAGAGGTATATGTTTTTCCTTTTTCACAACTACATTTTCTTTCAACCTTTCCATAACATACCAAGGAGCCTTCCAAAGCACCATTGTTCTTACAATCAAAAAGGAATAACTAGAATATAAATACCAACTAGAATTTATATAACTTTGTGGTTTCTTTCATATTAAAGCTAATTAAGGGCTGGGGATTTAGTTTAATGGCATATGTACCTGCTTGGCAAGTGTGAGGTCATGAATTTGATCCTCAGCATCAGAAAAATAAATAAATAAAGCTAATTAACTGGCCTGTTTCTATTATAGAGTAATTTTCACACATGGGAATATTTTAAAATTTTGTGATAATATATGCATAGTTTTAAATAAATTTCTTTGAGTTTTTTTTTAAATTTTATTTAAGGAGAAAAGAAAAAAAAGCAGAGAAAGGTACAAGTTATATAGATTTACAGAAAAAAATAAACAGTAGGAAATCACTAGTTAATGGATTACATGTTGTCATCTTAGAAATAATTGTTCAAGTTACAGAATTAACGTTTATAAAGTGGACATTCCAACAGTGAGACTGCAAACAGTTCTGTTCAATGATCCAACAAAACTCAGTAATATCATTATATATCTTATACACTTAAATATACATGCAGTTATATCATTTAGAGCACTTTCTTTTCCTCTCTTTTGTACAATGACAATTACAAATCTTGGGTTTTGTTGCTCCCACAGTTCTTATTACTTTTTTGGAAGAGAGTAGAACCAAATGTGACATAACAGAACAGAGTCAGTCAAATCAAAAGGGTGTACATAATAGTTAATGTAAAAGCATAATACAAGGTGATCAACAATGGTTACCATAATGCCTCCTGCTATCTCTAATAGAATTGCCTATATCATCAGTTATATTAAAATTGAACAAAAAAGTAAAGAACAAAACCAACAAAACCAAAACATTGGAGACATTATAGGTCTTCAAAAGTAGATAATAGTCAACCAGAATGGGCGTCATAATGAATCTCATTATCTTCACAGCTATTGCCTAAATTTACGAACCTGGTACTATCAAACAAAACAGAATAGAGGAACATCAGTCAAAACAAGATGGTGAGAGCAATACAGGGCTTTAAATCAAGACAATGGAAAGTGAAAGTGGGTTACTATAATAAATCCTGCTATTTTTTATTTATTTTTCCCTTAATTAAAAGGATAAAAATAAAAAAGTAAATAATAAAATGGAGATTGAGATAAAAGTGGGCATAACAGGCAAAACATTGCAGATCAAAACATAACCATTTAAGCAAAATAGTGTTTCACCACAAGATAATCCCAACATAAAAGTAGTTACCATATTGTCTCTTTCCTTGAAATCTTTGAGTACAACTTCGTATACTGTAGCATCAAATATATCAAAACAATGTAAAACCATTTAAGAGAATGACAGTATTACAGGGTATTTAGAATCAACTAACAGAAAATGAACAATGGTTTCTGTATAATCTCCTTGTCTATAAAAGTTTTTGCTTATACTATCATATATAATAAAATTCAATAAGATACAACCTGTTTAGACCAATGGAGACAGAAGAACAAAAGCTTGATGAGACTTCAAAACAAGATGATACTAAATCAGTATTACCTATTAAGACGTCATTTTCTCCAAAATAGCTGTTCCTATTATCCAATCTTCTCTGCCTCATTTCTGTTGAGCTCTTTTTCTGTCATTAGTTGTCAGTTTGTCTTCTTCATTTTGTTTTCTGCTCCATTCATTGTGGCCTCTCTGCCACTATTTCAGGATTCTTCATATTTTCCTTTTTTAGAATATCCTGCAGTATTCTCTGTAGAGTTGAATTGGTGGTTGCATATTCCCCTAGTTCCTCTTTATCCTGGAAGCACCTTGTTTTTCCATCAATTTCCAGGGATAGTTGTGCAGGATATATCAATCTTGGCTGGAGATTATTATCTTTCAAAGCTTGAATTATTTCCCCCCATGCTCTTCGTGATTTGATGGTTTGTGCCAAGAAGGCTGCTGTAATTCTGATGGGTGTTCCCTGTAAGTGATCTGTTTCTTGTCTCTGATGGCTTTTAATATTCTGTTCTTGTATTGGATATCTGGAATTTTAATTATTATATGCCTGGGTGTTGCTCTGTTTGGGTTGTAGGTGGCTGGGGTCCTGTATGCTTCATAAAACTTAGTATCTTTACCTTTTGCTAAATTAGGAAAATTCTCCTGGATTATTTCTGTGAGTAGCTTTTGTAGTTCATTTGTTTGTGTCATTACTTCTTCTTTTATGTTCTTAATTCTTAAGTTATGGATCCTCTTATCATCTTCTTATCTTTGTATTATTGCTGTTTGTTTCTTTGTTATTTTTAAGAAGTTTTTCATTTCATTCTCCCATATTACAAATCTGCCCTCCAGTTCAGATAGTCTGTCCTTAGTTTCCTTCAAGCTGTTATGCCAGTTTTCGATAGAGTTTGTAGTTTCCTGGTAATCTCTTTGAACCTGCTTCATATATTCTATGCTTTGTCTATTTTCTCCATCAAACAATTCAACCCTCTTTTTCTGTTCTTCCATTCCACCATCTGTTTTTTCTTGGGTGGTGCTTAGCATTTCTCTAACTATTCTGCTTATGTCTAGCTTCAGGTCATTAATAACTTCATTCCTGAACTTGTCTATGAGGCTCTGGAGATAGCGCTTTATATCTATTGGTGCTGTGTCTGCTATTGCCTCTTTCTCAAGACTGGGGGCCAAGGAGCCTTTCTTGTTGCTGCCTTTTCCCATATTCTTTGTTCCTTATATATGCAAGCGTATATAGGAGGCCCAGCTTCCTTCCCTGTCGGCCACAGTCTGATTGAATTGCGCCAGCTAGGTGTTCCCGCACACTGCAGACCACCAGGAAGTTGCAGGCCAGGCAGCCTATGCGGAGCCCGCCCCTCCAGGTCAATCTACCTTCAGGCGCTGGGACCTGGGTTGTGCTAGCCTACTGGGTCTCAGCCAGCAGCGTCACATAGGCTAGGCACTACTCACCAATCCCTCTTGAGAGGGGGATACGTGACTGAAGTCACTGCAGCTCCCTGTTCCCGCAAGTCTACCCAGTCCTAGAATGTCCTCTGTTGGAGTCTCCTAGACCGTGGAAGAGTCCCAGTTTCTCTCACTCACCATAGGTCAATGCACAGCTCCCCGCCTGTCCTGCTTTCAACTGCGTTCACCAATTCCCATTCTCAGAGTGTTCGCACCTCTCTCTCCCTGCTGAGCCGATGTAGATGCAAGCAGCGGTGGTGGGAAACCCAAATTGCAGCTTCCAATGGTGTGGGCTCCAGCTTAAACACTGAGGCTTTTCTGTTCCTGTTATAGCACCAGGATTGCATTCCCAGTTGGTTTCTCTCAGCCCAGTTCATTCTTGGGTCAGCAGGGCATATCTCCTCCTGCTTATGATTCCTTACTCCGCACCATTCCTGAATTCTAAGCTGGGTCTTTCAGAGAGCCTCTGTAGCTGCTGCTATCTGTCTGCCATGTTCTCTGAAGTCCTCTTAAATAAATTTCTATACACTAACATTTTGCTATCTTATGGAAAATAAACTTATACACTGTAAGATGTTCAAAAGCATCTGAAACATCATTAAAAATCAGATGATAAATTTTGGTGTGCTTTTTACTGTGAGAAAAAGTATATAAGAGGCAATTAGCTTGCAAAAGGTGGGTAAATATAAAAAGACATATTTAAACTCTTAATAAATTAAAAAGTAGGTATTGGAAATCTTGGCCATTTCATTTCTTCTGGTAGGTATATTTTATTGCTAAATTACACGTGTAATCTGTCACTGTGTACTTAGGAATACGTATGCAGGGAATTATAAGATATGATCACATAAAATACAGAAATTAAACAAAAAATAGGAAATATAAATTTGAGATTCATGTAATAACCAGCGAATACATCTACTATGAGATAATGCACTAATCGAATGACTTCAAAAGAAAACATGTTCCTTAAAGTTCAAAGATTAAAGTATAAGATTATATCAACAGACTCATGTTACAATACTGTAGCACCAATGACCACAGACATGATATTTCAATATGACAGCATCTAGAGAGAAATATTTGGAGTCTCTCAACTCTTAACACTCACAGAATTACTACTTTTAAAAGGGGAGCTAGATAAAATGGTACCTTCCAAGATGGTTCCCAAAACAACAAAAGAATATTAGTTGAAAAGTACTAAGATATGAACACAGCATACAATTTCATTAGCAGTAATGGCACACTGATATTTTCTTAGCTTTGACCAATACATCTTGATTCATATATGTCAGATGAGAAGTTAACATGAAACAAATCTAGACAAGCAGACACAGGGACTTTCCATAATATCTCCTATCCCTATTCAAAATTTAAAATTATTCAAAAATTTCAAATTTCTTAAAAGCTGTAATGGCGATCTAAGTCTCTATCTATGCAAATAAGAATGCAAAACTGAGCTGTAATGATGCTCTGAAAAGAAGAACAGAGAGGAATACAAGTCTTCACACACAACTCATGGAAATGAGAGGAAGCAGAGACTGAGGCAGGGGCATGACGGGTTTGTGTTCAAGCTCTATTTCTTGACCTGGACTTGTGGTTGCACATACGTTGTCATTATATGGTAATTCGGTGAACTGTGCTTTTTGCTACACTTAACTTCCACACACCAAAAACTTTAAAAACACTTTTGTAATATAGTTAAATACCTCCCTGTTACTGACAAAGGCTAGAATAAAGAGACTATAGGTAAATAAATGAGGTGCACCTGTAGAGAGGTCATTAACAGGAACTACTATAGCAATTATTAAATTATAGGCCTAACATCTTCAGAACTGGAAAGCACTGTAAGAATCACCAGGTGCAGCAGTGGTCAGTTCTTCATGGAAGTACTCAGATGAGGAAGAACCCAGACAGCAGAGTCTCAGTCAAGTTCCTCAGGGACTAATGATGCACAGATTATAACCATTGTACTGTTTCAGGATGGTGAAATGACTTTTCATGACTTTTCAGCAATCATGAAGTTCCACAAAGAGCATAAGAGCTAAAACTATCAAATGCTTGGCTCTCTATTCCATCTGAAGGATTAAGTCCCACCTAAGAATCCTGGGATATTATAATTCCAAATAACAGTAGTATTAGTAAATTCTATTAATCTCAGTAAGTTTACCAAAGATATTTTTCCATCATCATAGCTTGCTTTTGGTTTTACCCATGAAATAACAGATTTTTGTATAAATTTAAACATTCTCATACAATACTAATGCATTTGTCACTTACTAAACAATAGCAGATCACAGATTCATAGGCTAGAGGACTACTAGCCCACTTACTTCTTTGAAAGATAAGGAAACTGATATTAGTGATATTAGTAACTTGTCATGTGTGTCTAGAATTTCATTCTCCTTTTTCAGGTTAATAAATTAGACTACATTTATTCTTCCTGATCATTGTCAGACAAAATGAACTGGTATGCCATACATAACATCATTAGTTTTTAGCTTGGGTTCTCCCACATACAATTCAGTCATTGTGACATCTGTGAACACTTCTATTGAAATGATAGTTGGTGAGCACCAGTGTGATGGCAAATGAACCACAGACAACACAAAATCTTCATTAGATTGAAAGCAAGTTGAAGAACTTCTTTCATAGATAGTAACTCATAATAATTGTAAGTGGAAATTATAATGTTTTATAAGTAATACCAATCTTAAGAAGGTAATGAAGAGGAAGATAATCATCATTATAGTCAAACCTAGAAGATTCTTCCAAAAGCCCCAAAGTGAGGGATCAATGCCTTGGATTTCCAAAAATTCTTCACCATCACATCTGAAATTAAACACAAAAAGAATACAACTTCATTCTAAGCATTGGTCATATTTTATTCACTCAATTCACTGTTCAGTTTTGAAATAAGCCTATAAGTTAAATGAACCTGTTAGTAGTTATCCCTTCATATGTAACAGCTGACAGATACTGAGTACTTACAATTTTGCCAGATATTACACTAAACAACTTCACCAGACAGCTAAATGTCTTAGTTTCTGTTCCAAACTCCAGCAGACTCTGTTTCCAAATGAAACCACCTAAATTGATCTTTACTGTTTGCATTTCTATCACTATTCTGGTCTTCTGAGTACTGACTAGTATCTACCATCAAAACTTGGCTTAGGGTATTCTTGGACTTTTCCAACTAGCATCTCCAAACCTTTCCAAATCCTCCCATGAACCAGTTCTGATGGATTCTGAACTATATGATCAGGTATGGTCATAGAAACAACCCTCCATTTTCCTGGCACTAAAAATCTGTCTTAGTCACTTTCACAAGGCTAACAAAACACCTGACACCCACAATTAAAAGGAGAGATTAATTTTGCCTCATGATTCAGTCCAGGTTTATTCTAACGCAAGAAGAACCTGGTAGAAGTATCTAGCAGAAGAAAGCCACTCATGTCATGGCAACCATGAAGCAGAGAGAAACGGGGAGGTGAATAGGCAGATACACACTTCCAGGGTCAGGCTCCCAGGAAATTGTCTTAACTGACCAAGTCAACCTAACAGCAGTATAGCTATAACAGCTCATAATCCAATAAGCTTCCAAAAGTCCCATCTCTGAACACATGAAATTCTTGGGGCACGTACTATATCTGAAGCATAACACTCTAATAATCCCTAAAATAATTCAATGGGATTTGAATATTATATACATTTTACAAACATGATCAGGTAAATGAGATGGTCAATGTTCAGTTTGGTTGTTCCTAGCTTGGGAAGCCAGTCACAAGATAGACAAAGACACTCTCCATAAAAACAAAATGAGAAATATTTAAGTTTACAGAGTTGTCTCTAAACCAAGTTTCTACCCCTTTCATATTCATTTGTTTCTAAATCTAAAATGCTGTGCTCTTCAAAGGAAATGTTTATCAAGTAAGCTTTCATTTATTACTGATGGAAAAACCCTGAGACCTAACTGATTATACTTATTGTCTTTGCCAAGATGGTCAAATCTACCTGTAGTTGTGCTCACCCACAAAATAACCATCAAAATACAGGCTATAAATTCTAAAGCTGGAAATATATGGGAACAAGGGTTTCAGGGCAGTCACATTTGGTCAATTCCTGCTGTAACCCAGGTATCAAACACAAATCTTAAGTAAAAGCAGAGCAGAGAGGAACCCTGCTGTTAAAATGAAAAGTTCTTGGTACTAAAGATATCTGGAACCATCATAATTATTGCCTGCTACCATTTCTGAGCATCTGTTAGAACTCAGAATTTCCAAAAGCATCCTTGTGTCTCTTTACTAAGAATTGCTTCCTCTTTTCCACAGGAAAGAAGATCTTTAGGTACGCATAAAGCTTGCGGTGGCTTCTCTTTATCTGGTTATATTTTCCTGTCCACTTCCTCTTAACCAGCAGCCTAGAGATGACAATATTACAAAACACCATATCTAGATCAAAACAAAAAAGAGTGGAAAGGGTAAAAAAAATTCTCCCTTCAAAAGTTTTTTCTATTGGTAACTCAAAATCTGTGTTAGAATTATTTCTAAACTACTTGAAAATCCAGGAGATATTTAATATACCAACGCTTCTGTTTCATTAATTTTTGTACCTAAATCATGCCATTAACAATAATCATGGAAGAGTATGATAAAAAACATAAAGCAATATTCCTAAATTTATTAAAACATAAGATTTTTTAAATCACATTATGCAAAAATGAAATTTCCATTTCAACACACTGAAATACACACTTCTTTCATTAGCATATACATCCTATAGTAGAATATTTCAAGTTAGTTTGCATGCATGCGCATGCATGTACACACACCGACACACATACGCACATACAATTGTGCAATTTTTCAATTCATGACATCCCCCAAAGGCCTTTGGCAGTGGGAAATCCTACAATCCTCCTGAGGCAGCACTCACTCCCTTTTAGATCTTACAACTCTGCCCAGGCTGGGCTCAAACATATAATATGATCCTTAAGTTTAGAGTCAGTTAGCTTTTCTTCAACTGTCAAAGCAAGCTGTTGTTAAATATTAAAAAAATAAGTACCCAAACCCATAATCAAAACATAAAAGTAGTCTTTCAAAATGTCACAGTAAATATTTCTCCACATTGAAAATTATTTTGGCTACCAGAGAATACAAATAAAGCATGTTCACATGCAACACTACACAATGTCTCACTTGATAGATGAGAAATACAGCCTCAGAAAGACTGACCCAGAGGATTCAGACAGGCTCTAAGCCAGGGCCTATTCTTCATTACAGCATAGCAGAAACTAAACCCATTTTGACAATGAATGTGAACTTACATTACATAACTGGAACAACCACTGTGTTCCGCTGTATTAAATTCAGGACAGAAGTTTTGACCCCAAAACTCATTATGCTGCAAAGCCTGTAACACAAATGAGAGTAGGCATTATAAAACATTTCCAAGAAATTATCACAATTATGTCTTGTGGCTTAATCTTCATTGTTATTCCTAAAGAACACCAAGTTTCACATTCACAGTGTTTGTCACATCACAGCAGCTAAAGTTATTTTTCCTGCAATTTAGATAGTTGGTTTTGGAATGTTATTCTAATTGGCAAGAAGGGACACCTGGCTCCCTGGAAGAACTGCTCTATAAATCGTTCCTTTTCTCCCAAATGTTTTAACCACATAAAGACTACAGTTAAAATATTACAATGCTGCTCAATGAATATTGATGCCTTATGGTAATTATCTTTTCTTAAATATTTCCATCAAAACCAGTTGTAGTCATAGGAAACAGAAACTTAGTATGCTATATAAAGGGAGTTTTCCTTGGAGTACATTAGTTTGATAGTAATGCCTTTGTTTGGATTTTAATATCCATTTCAATGAACCTCATATTCTAGTCACCTATCTTCTCATTTATTTCCTTATTACACAGACACATCAATACGTTTTCCATCAATTAGCATTTCCGGTTTACTATGAGAATTCTCTGCACCTTTTAATGTTCCCCAGATAATAGGGTAACTGGGAAACCATGATGGCTCCCTGACCTCATGCTAACCAAAGGTAATAGCGTATTCTTATCCTTTGCTCTGGAAAGGAGACAACTGCAAATCATGGCCAGGTAAATGACACAGTCAGAGTTCGGTTTGGTTGTTCTCATCTTGGGACGTGAATCACAAGACAAAGACACTCACCATAAAACCCAAATGAGGAATACTTAAGTACTGAAATCGTGTAAACACAGGTGCAATGGTTGCAACGGTTTCAGAATACAGCGATATATTAAAAAAAACCTACAAAAAAACACAAAACACAAATCATAACCAATCCAGTGATTTTGAGAATTTTAAAGAAAACCGTATGCTCAAAACCGTATAGTCTTCTAATCATTTCTGAGTAGACCAACTTGGTCTTGAAATTCTTTTCATTTGTACTAAATACTAGTCTTCCTCCTTTGTATGTGAATACCTCTGCATAGGTAAGGCTGGTAAAGGTGTTAAAGAAAGAACAATATCCTGAAATTTATATTATAGCTTTTGCTTATTTTTAAGTGTATATTTGCAATACATAGTAGTTATGTTTCTTCTAGGGAACAGATACATGCATATCATATCTTCATCATTTTTGATCACTTTGTCTTGTTTTTCACTATCTTTCGTTAACCTATTTACTTATTTATTTATTCATGGGTTTTGCTTCTCATATAAGAGAAACCATGTGATATCTATAGTGATACCTAATATAATGTAAATGCTATGTAACTAATTATACTGTATAGTTTAGGGAATTATGGCAACAAATGAAAAATGTGTCTCATAAGTACAGACATATAGTATTTGTTTTAAATCTTCAACTCATGGTTGGTGGAGTCTGCATATGGAATCTATGGGCATGAAGGGTCAACTACACTAACTGTTCTAAAGATATCACAACTACCTCTTTCCCTAATAAACCTTGTTATCTAGGAGCAGACCAGAACAATGCCAAGTCTCACATGCCCCTCTCTAACCCATACAATAGCAAGATTTGTCATTTACAAAGATTTGCTCTGTGAATTCATCACTTAATGAATAATGTGTGGTTCAAAGTACAAGTTTAGGATTAATCAAAACCTAGAATTGATACATAACATAATGTGGCAATATACAAAAGAAAATGTACCCCACACCTCACAGCACAGTAGAGCTATTGAGGAACAACTGCTGAAAATGAGTAAGAGATAACTATGGGGTTCACAGAAAATTGTCCTAACTGGGAGAAGACTTACTGGGATATGCAAAATAATGTCAATATTGGTAGTGTTTCTGCACTTATTCAGACGTGACCTAACCAAGTGTTTAGTATGTAACAAAGAATTTCGGAGTAAAATTTGGTTTTCTGATTGGCGTTATGGTTTAGATCTAGAATTTCCCCCCAAAGTTTTACGTGTTCAGAGGTAGTGTTTTTAAAAGTGATTAGCACGTAGAAGGTGCTCTGTTGATCGGCAGAAATCCACTGATTAGTAAATTCATAGCTGAGTGTGTTATTGAAAGCTGGGGGCGGGTCAGAAGAGGTACGTGATGTAGGGGTGTGACCTGGCAGGAAGTATCTTCCTCCCTGGCTCTTGCCTTCATATTCTGCTTTCTGGTGAGAAAAAAGAACAAGGCAATTGGTTCCAGTTATCGAGTGCAAACTTTGGGAACATATAGGGGGACATGTAGGATTATAATTAAGCAACCATTAAAAAAGAGACATGAAGATGAGCTAGGAAAAGTGATGTAAGCCTGTGAACCACAGCTACTCAGAAGAATGAAGCAGGAACACTGCAAATTTGAGGCCAACATAGGCAAATTAGCAAGATGCTGCCTCAAAATAATCTGAAAAATCTCAGGATATAGCTCAGTGGAAGAGCAATTTCGTGGCACGTGAGCAGCCTTGGATTCAAGCCTCAGTATCAAGAAAATGAGAAAAATAATAAGGAAAATTATACTCATATCAGAGAGTCTTAGGAATTCAGAAAGGAGGTGATAGTATAGTGGATTTTGAAATTTTTTAGTATTTTCAAAACACTCCTTTTCAAACCATAAGAGACCCCAAGACAGACTTCCCATGAGAAAATACATTACACTTCTTATGTAGCTTGGCTTTCATCCTGGAGAGTGGTAACTCCAGCCATACCACCTCTGTAGTTAAAAAGCCAGCAGATCTCTAATACTGGCAGGAAAAGCAAGCAGATAGCATGGCACGTTCATGAAATAATTAACAAATCATAATTCTTTTGGTTTTAGAAATGCCAATAGATAAGATATAGCACAGTGTTGCCAGAAAGAGCTTTTTAAAGGCAAATTACTAAGCATATGTTAACTAAGTTACAATTACTACGTTAGAACAGCCCCCCCCCCAAAAAAAAAAAGGTTGGACAAGGGAAGGAAGAAAGCTGGTATTCTCTACTATAAACTATAATTGTTTATGGTCTCCTGAAAGCATCAGTCCCATGTATAGAATATTTCCAGCTGATTTTATCAGATAGGTGAATACACAGGAAGGAACAAAGGGAGTATTTCCCTCTCACAGAAGCATAGATTATACTCACCAGCATAAACGCAAAATAGAGGTTCATGATTAATGTTGTCAGAGAGTCTATTCTTGGACTTATTGCTATGGCCAGTGCCATGGAACTGGCTGTGTAAGTTATCAGCATGACAGTAAACATCATGATGCAAAAGGCCTCTACCTCTTTTTTCAATCCTTAAAAGAAAACAAAGGGTCAATCCAGCTGCCCATATCACCTTGTTTTGGTAATAATTTATTGGACAAGTAATACTATAATCTATAAATCTAGTATCAGAATGAAGAGTAACACACTATCAAACTACCTGGGTCAACAGTTTCATTTTCCCTCCATGTAACTGCATAAAGTTTTCATATAGTTTTTTCTTATCACACTTACTACGAACTCTTCTCCATAAAGCACCTGTGCTCCCTTGTATGAACTTAAGAACAATATCTGAGTTCGTGAGATGGAGCGCTCCAAGCAACACAATAGACCAGCATTCTCATGCCTTCGCCTCTCACAGAACATTCAGCAACAGCATTTCACTTCCCCAGACATCTGCACAGCACTCAGTGTTTGCTGTGACTGCACTAGTGAGGAGTCTGGGGTCAGGACTCCATGGCCTTCACAGTGATTTTAATATCTGAGACCAGGGAAAGGCCTTCATAAACCAAGTCCCCCAGAACAAAGCACCATGTGACTTTGTGATTGAGAATGATGTTAACTGAATTCCTGAAGCCATCTCATAAAATATAGTGAGCCAATATTATGCATCACACAGGCTGAAGATTTACAAAGAGCTGCAAGAACACAAACAGGAATCTCGAGACCTCAATTCCACACCTAATTCTTTTGATGCACATCATCCTTACAAAATGGAATATCTAAGCTCTGTAAATGATTCTTATTAGGTAGCGTGTTATCAAAAAAGATAGTTCTGTTGTGTATGTGTGTACACCCACATGTTTTTGTGCACACATGCATTGTGTGGCAAATACTATCACTGAAATGTGGTGTTAAGTAATTTTGATGAGCATGGGATGAAGGCTGAACATAATGCAAAAATGAAACTATAGCAATCAAACAAGCATTTTTATTAATGCACTATAAAGTACAAGGCATACGGAATAGTACGTATTTTGTTTTATTGACCTCTATATATACGTCTATATAGTTATTAAGGATGTTACCGATCTCCTATCTATATTTTACCTCTATAAGGAACACACAGAGGGATAGAAAAATATAGACACATAGGCAATGAATATTCCACCGCTTCCAGTTTGGTCTCAAATTGTGTATAAATTTTTTTCACTTTTGTGTATGACTCACAGTAAATATATCTTATTAAAATCGAGTTCTATAGTTTAAAACGTTCAGGTAGGAAAAGATTTGGGAAAAATACCCATATAATATACAAAATAGCTAAGATAATTGTACTATTCACTCTATTAGCTTATTGAAAGAACAGCTACTGCTTGTATTGTTTGATCAGTTTTGCCTGCCTACATCTGGTAACTGAGCAACTACTTTGAAGAGAATAATATGTAATATAATAACTATTGTTAACTTCCTATCATCTTGTTTTGAAACTCTGTATCATTTTTATTGTTTTTTTATTTTTAAAAGAAAAAGATGAAAAATACCCATACAGCACAGTTATTTCACAGAGGCAACATATTTTGTCTCTAGCTCACGGCCTTTTTTCCACTTTGAACAATCTTCCCTAAATATTCTTGCAAGGAAAAATTAGTTTCACCAATATCCAAGTCTACAAACAAACTTTTTGTCTTTTTACTTACCAAACATAAAATATACAGTCAAAGTAAATGTAATACTCGGCAAAAGCCTTCTAGGGATTAAGTCAGATAATAGTTTTCCAAAGAAATAAGGAAGAAGTCCATAGTATCCGCTGATATACTCGTGTCTGTAGAAGAAAAATATACATTGTTAGACATCCCAGATTAATTTCAGAAGCTACAGACCATAAAAATAAGTGCTTGCTATATAGAATTTTGCTGCCCAGGGCTGTAAAAGGACAACTTCCCACATGTGCTAGGCTGCCACTCCGACACTCTTCACGACACCCCATATTAGCTGCAGGAGGCTCTCACTGTGATGCTCTCTTTTTGCAAAACTTCCTCCTGCAGCTGTCCACGTGGGCCCAGAATCCTGCTCCAGATGCAAAGAATCAGCATCTTCTCACTTGCCTCACAGACTCTGCTTCTTCTTTAATGCTGGCTCTCTCTGAAGAACAGCAGTCATGGTGGCTGTTCTTTTCCTCACTTCTTCTTCTTATTATTGTTACTATTAAGTTTATTGGTACCATTTAGATAGACACAATGATCACATTCATCACAGGGGATCTGTATTATATACATGATATAAAGAAGTTGTGTATCAAGACCTACAATGCAGCTTCACATCAACAATCTCTCTTTACTTCTTCTATTTTTATGCAAAAGACTTCTTCCTTTGATGATCCTGTCTCCAACTAAGCAGCCATGTCAGCCAACAAATCCTAATCTTCCTCTGACACTATTCTCTCATATTTGCAAACTATTTCACTACTATCTTACTCCTTCGCCTCTCTGATGATTCCTTTCCTTGGCATGTAAATATGAGCCAATTGTCTTTCATCTTTGAAAGACACAACAGGCAAACCCAGCCTGCTCCTTACTGTGAAGCTGCCCTCTTGGTCTTTCCACTCCTTCATCCAACGAGGATTAACTTGGACCCAATCTTTGTCAACTTTACCTGCTTTCTCCACTTCACTGCTGAACTCGCCATATACTCAACACCAGGCCTTCAAAAATTCTCTTCCTGGAGTTTTTATCACCAGGTATTTGCTAAAAACAAAAGCTTCTCTTCAGCCCCCTCACTGGTGCCTAGACATTTGCACTGGGATTTGCTGACCATACCCTGATCTTGAAACTCCTCTCCCTTGGCAGCAGATTCTCTACTCCACTGGTGACTTTTTTTCAATTAGTATTCATACATATGTACTTCAAAAGCTTCTGATTATAATAAATATATGGATAGTTTGTATTTTTCAATTAAAAAAATAACAAAATGAAACTGCTGGTAATCACCAGTATGGCATCCTTGTTGTAATTCTCAGTGGAAATAGTTTGTCCAATAATCACCACAACAACCATTGCAAAAGAAATCTACTCACATGAACAGCTTCTTCTCAAGCACAAAGATATCCGCGGCTGACACACTGCTAAAACACTGAAAGATGACCAGTGTGAGGAGTACTAAGGATCTTCGAGGTTAAAAGAAGAACAAAAACACCACAGTCAGTATCACATCATTAGATATTCTACCTGCAGAATTCTTTTTAATGAATAATATTACATTAAACAAAGTATTGAAATTTTTCTTTATGAAAGCTAGAATTATTTTGGTTCAAAGTGAGAGGGGAGCAGGACCCCATAAAGTCTCTCTTCCATCTGTCTCTACAGCTCAGCTCTCTTCCATCTGTCTCCACAGCTCAGCTGGACCCCTGTGAGTCCAAACTATAGCACATTTTGACATTCATGGCCTGCTGCAAGATACATTTTGTGTTCCCATAAAATTTATAGTTGAAACAACAATCCTTGGGAGGAAGTATTTGGGAGTTAATTAGATTGAGATGAAGTCATGAGAGTAAAGTCTCAAGATGAGATAAGTGTCCTTATGACAGGGAGGAACACCTGACTCTGTGTCATCAGAAGGCATCCAGGGAAGGCAGCCATCTGCAGCCAGCACAGGGCCTTCACAGGAACCCGACACTGCTGGATCAGAACAATGACTACAATATTTTATCCTTTCATCAGCTGATAGATGCTTAGTTTGATTCCTTGGTTTGGCTATTATGAACAATATTGCAATGAACACAGAAATGCACATAAGCTGACTTCAAATATTGCAATACATGAAAGTGAGATGACTAGATACAATTAGTTTAAGCCCCTCTCCTAATTTGTTTAGCTATCACCTCAACCTACTAGGCGGCAGGAAGTTCATAGTCTGCAAAGGATTCAAACACGTTTCTTAGTTAAACCATAGTCCTCTTTGCTTAACAGGATGTTTACCAGTGCTTCTTAGGGTTTATTAATGTACAGTTGAAATTTGATCCCATTGTTGTTAATGAATTTAATACACTTGCCAAGGAAACACAGTACTGCTGCCAATTGGTTTTCTCTCTGTGCTGATACCTAGATGCCTGGAGGTCATAACACTGTGGCTTGCCCCTGAAAAACAGAGGCACTGAGCCAAAAAGTTTGCAAACCCCATTATAAAACAGAAACATGAAAAGACAAGGTAACAAAATTCCCCCAAAATCTCCCAGTTCTCTCAAAACCAGTTCAAGGGGCAATACGAGGGAGAAAATCATAAATGATACAGCACATATATTTCAAAGGCTACCAATGGAGATAAACCAGTCCATTAAAATAGTTGGTGAACTTAAAGAAGTTATACCTAATAAGATAATGATCTTAATCAAACAAATTATAAATTAGTCTAAAGACACTAATACACAGCTAATGGAACTAAAGAAAGAGATGTAAAATATGAATGCTCAACATAGAAAAAAATGGGAGTCTTTAAGAAAGGTACAAAACAGAAATCCAGGAGATTAAAAACTTGATTGAAATTGTGGGGGTAGAAGTGATCTATGTGAAGACAGAGTGAAGGAAAGAAATTATAAAGATTACAACAGAAATTTTAAAAAGGGAGACTAAAGCAAAACATTACAAAGAATCAATGAATCAAAGAGCTGGTTCTTTGAAAGAATAAACAAAATTGATAAACACTTAGCAAATGTTACCAAAAAACAAAAAGGGAGAAAAGATACAAATTAATACAATTAGAAATAAAAATGGTAAAATCAATGTAGACGCTGTTGAAATCCCAGAAAATTTGTAGCAAGTACTTTGCAAAATTATTTGCCATACAATTGGAGAACACAGAAGAAATAGAAAGATTCTAGATCTTATATGACAGCCACAATTAAATCAAGAAGACTTAAAAATTCTCAATAGCCCAATAACAGGCAATAAAGTTAAAGCAATAATAAGAAAAACTAAAAACTAAGAAAAGCCGAGGACCTGATGAAGTCATAGCCAATTTCTACAGAATCTCCAGGCAAGATCCAACACCAATACTCCTCAAAATTTTCAATGAAATCCAGAGATAAGGAGTACTTTCAAACTCACACTTGGAAGCTAATATTATCCTGATCCCAAAACCAGACAAGGGTCTAACCAAAAAAGAGAACTATACACCAATTTCTCTAATGAACACAGATGCAAAAATCCTTAAAAAGATACTAGTAAACAGATTACAATGAATCATCAAGATCATACATCATGAGGAAGTAGGCTTCATCCCAAGGATGCAGAGATGGTTGCATGCAAGCAAATCAATAAATATAATTCATCACATAAACAGAAGCAAAGACAAAAAATCACATGATCATCTCAATAGAAACAGAAAAGGCCTTTGACAAGATCCAACATCCATTCATGCTAAAAACCTACAGAAAATAGGTATCTCAACATGACAAAAGCTATTTATGACCAAGATACTGCTATCATTATACTAAGTAGGGAAAAAAATTAAAACTTTCCCTCTAAAGTCAGGAAACAAGACAAAGAATTTCATTATCACCACTCTTGCTCAACATAGTCATCAAAACATTAGCCAGAACAATCAGGCAGTGGAATACTTTAGAAGAGGACAGTCAAGCTCTGCCTAGCTGCCTGGGTCCTGGAGGTTTTGAACTCCACTCAGCCAGGCATAAGACCCGGGCACCACACTCCAGCAGTATGTCCTCACTAGCCACACAGAGGACCCGAGCTCTGCCCAGCCCAGTGTCTCAGTGCAATCCCTCAGGGGAATGAATGCCCAGCCAGCCTTACAAGTCACAGAGGTACAGAGGCCAGCCCAGGCCCAGAACCCAAGAGCCACTCATCAGGAAGTCACCAACCTAGCTGATGGGTGTTGGAGAATTTGAGCTCTGGTCATCAGATCACAAAGGTCCAGCTCTACAGTTCAGGGGGGCAGCCCAGCTAGTCATGCGGAAGGTCCTGGAGGTTCTGAACTCCACCCAGCCAGAAACAAGATCCCAATACCATATGTGCTCTGGCTGGTAGAGGTGCGCTCTGGCTGGCCCCATGCTCCTGAGGCTCTGAACTCCTCCTAGCCAGATACAAGCTCCCAGCCATTCCACACTTTGGGGATGCACCCTGCCTAGCCACCTGGGTTCCAGAGCCTCTGAATTCTACCCATCCAGGCATAAGGTTCCAGCACCACACTCCAGGAGGACATCCCTGCTAGCTTCCTGGGTCAAGAAGGTTCTGAACTCCACCCAGCCAGGCCCTAGGCCCCAGTGACACACTGGGTGTGTATCCCTGCTAACTACCTGGGTCCCAGAGGTTCTGAACTCCATTCAGCTAGGCACAAGGCTACAGCACCACATTCCAGGGATGTGTCCCTGCTAGCCATGTGAGTTGTGGAGGTTCTGAATTCCACTCAGCCAGGTTCTAGGCCCTAGCAATATACTCTACGGGTGTGTTTATGCTAATTGCATGGAGCATTAAGCCGTGCCCAGCACAGTGTCTCAGGGTAACCCAGTACAGTATATCAGGGAAACACCCAATAGTCCCACAGGCCACAAAGCACAAGGTTCCAGCATCATAGTTTGGGAGTACACCTGGCTAGCCACGGGGATGTTGCAGGATGGAAGCTCTGCCCAGCACCAAGTTCCAGGGCAATCCAGCAGGAGGGTACCTGGCCAGCCACATGGTCCCAGAGGAAAATGACAAAAGAGCAAGATGCAGTCTTAGTTCTCCAGCCCACCAAGAACAAACCCAAGAGATACTGAAATGGAAGACACTGGAATTTACACAACTGCCATTTCTGAAATGATAGCAACTGAAGTAAAGAAACAACTCTAGAAGGAAAAAAATGATGGCTTGCTAGAAAGTTGGATAGAGATCCTCTCTGGGGAAATCAGCCCAGATGCTAGAATCTGACAACATGGAGAGGGCCAGATAATTGGAAAATGATTCTCACTAAACCAGGAAATAACTGAAAGAAAAATAAAATTAGGAAGAGGAAGGAAAAGCGCAGGTGGAGGGCTGAAGCCTGACATACTCACTGAGACCTGTTCCGTGCTGTGCTGGGCGCCCCATGGAGACAGATGATTCAAGGTTGCACCGAAGCTGTGGCTGCCAATAACGGGAGTTGGTGAGTCCTAGGCCCGTGGCGGGAGGATGTGGCACAGTGTGGAATGGAGCCAAGGTAGAGAGCTTTATTAGCTCTTGGTAAGTGCTGGAAATTGGGTCCTGTATGGTAGACTGACTGGAAGACATCTTGGAGTAGAGCACAGTCCAGCACCACAGTGGCATCAGTCAACCTCCCTTGGCCCAGAGAGGACTGCTAGGAGCAGCTTGGGCTGAACCACACAGCTGGTTGGGACCCAATAGCCAGGGACGAAACTATTCCAAACCTGTGATGTCCGCCACAGCACAGCATAAAGTGCTGAAGGCAGTCGCAGGTTGACTACCACAGAGGGGAGAGCTAACCGCATGCCACCTCAAATATCAGCAAACTGGAGAGAGCAGCAAGCCCCCAGCCAGCACGCTTTAGAAAAACTGTAAGGAATACAAAAACGGCCTGAGATCTCTACACACCTGTCTGAAAGAAACCAGACACACAACAACAGCAAAAGATAAGACAAAACCTCCAGCCACTGACCCTTGGAAAATCAGCCAAGGGGAGGTAAATACAGAAGAGACCAGTACAGCAATCATGCAGTGTTAGCCACAACATCAGCAGACATAAAGAAATACATTCATGACTTCATAGATGAACTTAAAACTGAAATTCTAACCCAAGTGAGACAAAAAAAAAAAAAAAAAAGGTTAATTAAAGAAATGTTAAGCCCTTCTCAAGAAAACACAGAGGGAAGAAGGGAGGAACCCAGAAAAGGAAGAGAAACCTTTGGTGAAGAATATAAACAAAATCCAAAATACATGAAACAGATCCAAAGAGACTACCAGGAAACTAAAAACTCCATTGAAAGCTGCCAAAATGCCTTGACAGAAACAAAAATTATCCTTTCAAAACTTGAAGACAGATTTACAATGTGTGATCAAGAAAGAAAAGACCTATTAAAAATAACAAGGAACCAAGAAATAACAATTCAAAGGCTAGAAGACAAGAGGATATATAACTTAAGAATAAAAAACATAAGTGAATAAGGAGTAACCACAA